ACTCCTCCGCCTTCTCTGCATCTTCTCTCCAGTCAACACCTTCTTTCATCCTCTTCTCTTTTTCCACCATGAAGAAACCCCCTATGCTTGGCATTCCGCCCCATCTTCACTTCTTTTCTGCTCACCATCATCACTCTTATATCACTTCTCTTTGGTCCTCCCTCTCTCCCATCCATGCCCCCTGTATGTGTCAGTTGCATCTCCTGCATGGGAAGAGGACACTAAACAGGTCCCTATCCTTCCTCCACAGCAGCTTGAGGGGTCGGCACACTCTTGGAGCTAGCTGCCTCTGGCGCCACGTTCTCATGCCAGTACAATCCAAAGTGCAGTTGAAGACCAAATAACTTCAGTCTCAGCTATCCAAAGGACCCACAGGCTTTGCGATCTTCAAAAGAAGCCCTTCTCTGAGTTTGGCCATCTTCCTAGTCCTGGCTCCAGGTCCGAAGTCCGAGTCCAAATCTTTCATATGAAGTCTCAAGTCTTTGGTACCAGGTTCTGAGTCCCAAGCCCCATGTCCAAGTCCCTATTAAAAACATCTATTTTCCCCCAGAAAAAAGGGAAGGGTGAATTCCAAGTCCCTATTAAAAACATTTATTTTCCCCCAGAAAAAAGGGAAGGGTGAGTGTATTCTGAATTGCAAGTCTGAGTCATTAAAAAAACAAACAAACCCAAGTCCAGGTTGAGTGACAGGTGCGGCTTAAGTGTGACTTGACAATGAGTCTCATAACTGAGGTCCCAGTCCCTGCTAGGAGGTTTTTTCAGTGGCTGCTGCAAGGCTGTTGAATGTCCTTCCCAGGGAGGCTAGGCTACCCGCTCCCTAGCCTCTTTCTGCTGGTGGGCTTTTAGCAATTGGCTGACTGATTTTAAAAGAGAATGGTGGACTCCCCCCCCGCCTCTAAAAAGCAATCTGCCTTTCAAAGTGCATTTAATTCAACTTGGTTTTAGCGTTACAATTTAATTTAACTGTGTTCTAATATTATAACTTACTGGTCAGAATCCAGTTGAATAGTTATGTTGGTCTAAATGCAGTGGTGTAACTTGGAGCAGTAAATAGCCACTAATCAATGAGTCCTTGATTGAATTCTGCTTATTTGCCAGTAATGTGACTTGGTGGACAGCTAGAAATTCTGGCAGTGACTTGTTAATTGGCAACTATTAGCTGCTGAGAGTTATGTCCTCCCGGATTGTTGTGGGCTGCCCTAAGGTATAACAATGGGGAAAAGCTGTGATATAAACCAAATCAATAAATAGATACTGCATGTGTTATTTATATTGCTGTTGAAACTGCAATAAACAAACCTGTGTGCTATGTGCCATGAAATTGCTTCCAACTTAAGGTGAACCTAAACGGGTTTTCAAGACAAATAATATGTTTAAGGAGTAGTTTAGCATTGCCATGCTTCAATGAGTTTCCTTGGCTGAGGAATGGATTAGAACCCAGGCTTACTGAGTCCTAATTAGAGATGGGCACAATTCAGAAAAATTGTGATTTGTTTTGATTCATGATGCATCAAGGTTGATGAATCATGAATTATACATTTATATTTTTTTCTGATCAATCAACAAATTTGTCAATTTATTTTTTTAATTTAAATCCCTATAAAATGCCCCCCCCGGTACCTAGAGACACCAAATTCACTGGAAAGTTTTCCCTGACTCTCCTCTACAAGCCCTACATATTTGGTGAAGTTTGGTCTTTGGATGTCTCAAGTTACACACCTACAAAAAGGGTCCCCTAGGAAAGTTTCCTTCAGGCACCTAGAGACACTCCTACTGACTCTCCTCTACAATCTCTCCATGTTTGGTGAAGATTGGTGTTTCAGACATTCAGGTTATACACCCACGAAGTGGGTCCCCCTAGGGAAGTGCCCTTTAGCAGCTGGCTTGGGGAAAACTGATCTTCACCACATTTGGAGGGACTGTAGAAGAGAATCAGTAAAAGCTTATCTATAATTTTGATATCTCTAGGCGCCTGAAAGGGGGGTTCTGGGGGACACTGTGGGTATAGAAATCAGATGTCTGAGACCTAGTACTGTATTCACCAAATTTGGAAGGATTGTAGAGGAGAGTCAGAGGAAGCTTCCCTGCAATTTAGGTTCTCTAGGTACCCGGGAGAAGGAGTTTTATAGACAAATAAATTGACAAATCGATCGCTAAAAATTCATTGATTCATATTCATTGGGGGCACTGATTTGTACGGATCAACAAATTAGCAATTTTTGAATTAATTTGGTAATTTTGTTTTTTCAATTTGTGCCCATCTCTAGTCCTAATCCAACATTTATCTGTTGCACCACGCTGGCTCTCATCAACAAGTGTGATTACATCTGTAGCCACTGGGGTTCTCTGTATCACAAAAACACAGCACAGCCACAAACTCCTACCACCACTATGCCAAGAATCCTATGGTGTGGATGTGAAAAACTATAAAAATTGCCCATGAACCCCAATCCTATGCATGCTTATTCTGAAGCAAGCCCCCCCTTCAGTTCAGTTAACTAAAATAATGCACTGTCCTTACTATGGATTGCAGTCATGGACTGCAATCCTATACCTAGTTTCCACTAGTAAGCCTCATTACATCAGTGTGATATAATCCAGCACTTGATTGTCCTAATGCATGGCTTGTTTGGTGTGGAAGAAACTACCATTAGAACAGAATATGGAAAGACAGAATGATTTCCTATAGGCAAAGGTGTCAGATAAGGGTGCATTTATCATTTTGTCTGTTAAATCTGTATGCAGAACATATCATATGGAAAGCCCCACTAGATTCAGATGGAGAAGTGAATATTGGTGGAAGAAAATCACTAATGTAAGATATAAAGATGACATCATCTTACTCATAGGAAGCAATGACTTGGAATAATTTTTAGTGAAAGTGAAAAAAGAAAAATTGTTTCTGCTCAATGGAACTATTGGCATGGTAGACTTTTCAGGTTTTACTTTATGCATGGGATTTTTAAAAAGACACTTTACTGAGTTCGAAATTTCTAGCATTTTAATGCTGCATATAAATAGCCAGTTGCCGACCCAAATAAAAATGGAACAAGTATCACAGTGAGTAATGTAAAGAAACTTTTGGAACATGTAGCATTAGCTCCAACAATTATGTCTAGGATGGATGGCTTTGTAACAGGTTACATAGTGAAGCAACATTTTCAAAGTTCTGGTGGTTGGTTACTTAAAGTCCTCTTCAGATGTTTTTCTCTTGCATGAATGTGCATGTGCGTGTACACACACACACACACATACACACACACACACCTCCTTGAAGCTGAAGGTCTACCAGGAGAGTTGTCACACAGTGGTCAGAATGGTAAGATCACCACCACCACCATCCTATTAGAACTGCAGGGCCTCTTTGGATTATTGAGTCCAGCCACTATCAAGAAGGCGGCACAGTGGGGGAATCAAACTCCCAACCTCTGTCTCTGCAGCCAAATACCTAAACCACTGAGTTATCTATCCAGTGGTTCACTCATCAGGAGAGTCCCTTTTCTTGGTCCCACCACCTCCACAGGTTGATCTGGTGAGGACATAAGAAAGGGCTTTTTCAGTGTCCACTCCTAGTCTATGGAAGGCCCTTCTTGTGAGGTTTGTTTGGCCCTTGTTTTTGCTATTCATGTTTATTTATTTATATTATTTATATACAGTACAGTGGGGTCTTTACTTAAGAACTTAATCCATATTGGAAGGTGGTTCTCAGGTTGAAAAGTTCTTATGTTGAATCTGCATTTCCCATAGGAATGCATTGAAAACCATTTAATCCGTATCTGCTCTTTTCCGTCCATAGAAACTACAGTGGAACCTCTACTTCAGAACTTAATCCGTTTTGGAATGGTGTTCTTAAGTTGAAACGTTCTTAAGTTGAAGCAAAATTTCCCATAGGAATGGACTGAAAACCAATTAATC